CCTCAAACGACTTAGACATTAAAGATCTACTAGATTCAGGATCTATAATTAACGTAACGGATCCTACTAATCTATTATAAAAAGATTAAATAACCAACTAATCGAGTAAGGCATGATGATGAAATTTTCTAAGTATTTTCTTAAATCTCCTAACTTTCATAAATTAATTCTCCTTTAAACTAAGCAATTAAAGGAAGTGATATAATATCTAAATTTGGTAGTTTTTGAAGGTGAGAAATACTTAGATAAGAATTTATGTACCAACTCATTTTAAGTGGCTATAGAGCCTAGGGGCAATAGAATTCAACCACATCTTAGTCTTGTTCCTTAGAAAAAATAGGAACAATCTAAGTCTAATGACATCATCATTGACACTATTATACTTAAATATTACACAAATTTCTAAGAAATTGACTAAGTGTAAGTTAAGATCTTCAACACAAATTGGGAATTTTGAATCATTTAAATTATGATCGGTTTTAGCTCAACATTATTGGACTGAATAGTAGGTCTATTAATATTTTGATGGATTCATTCTATTACAAAATTAACATACTCCCAAAGAAATTTTGAATGATCCTGATCTTATATTAGGTCAAAAATTTTTAAAATTTTACAAGGATCCTTTCTATTTTTGGATCAAATAACAAGGGCTCTTTGTTAGATTTACCAAGTATACAACAAAGATAAAACAACTAAAAATTACAAACTAAATAATCAAACATAATATTTTTATTGGATTTTTTAAAATTTTATCAAACAAAATAAATATACATGTAGGTCTAAATATGCACTTATTTTAAAAATATAGTTAAAATTATAATATACATGTTACTTAAACTTAATGGGGGTGACAAACAGATAATGACAGTATGAGCTATATTATAACTAACTAAGTTTAAAATATGCTTACATTTTCTTTGTTATAAAATTAATTTAGGCCCACTAAAATACATAGTATAAATGTCGAATCAAGTAATAAAGTGATAGAGTAGAGTGTCAAACTCATGATAAAGTGTTTTACTTAATTACAACTTAACTACCACTGCTACTTCAAATGCACGACTTATCCTATTAAAGATAAAAATAACATTTTTTTGAGTTTTTATCACCAAAAGAAAAACTTGCAAAGAAAATTGATTCTTATGAAAATAAAGTATTTTGGACTAATGAATGCATGTAACATAGCTTTGAGACTCTTAATTATATATATAGATCTGAGCTTATACATCTTTAGATCTCTATTAAGCTTATATGGGTGAAAAGAAAAGTTTATGGTCTTCCCACAATTTTCGTATCTACATATAACCTATAATATTTAAACATTCTATGTCGAGGCTATACATCATATTAGATTTTAATTACACACATAATCATTGCGTGCATTAAATGAAGAACAAGAGATATTAAAAACATCAATACATTCATTAAACACTATAGGAAGATCGTTCATTACTGGCGACAATTTTCGATGGCATCTAACAATTTTTTTGTGGTTATTAAAACTTTTGGTGGTCAAATGACCGCTGGAATTACCACCAGTATTCATTGAATTTCCTATAGTAAAAGTATAAGAGTCTACATTAGTACATACTATGCTTTCTACATCATTAGCCTAAAATTTGATACTTAGCCAAATATGGAGGAATTAACAAGCAAACTCATCTTCATTTTGTTCATTGGAAGCAAAGATATAAGAGAAGTAATAAGAAAATTATCACCAGAAATAATCAAATGATCTTCTCCATACTCCTTCCACCAATCATAGAGTTGCTTACACAAACATGCTAATATCTTCACAAAAAAAATATCTTACACATTTCTAACCTCCCTTAGACTTTACTCTAAGGAAATACTAAAGAAATACACTTAAAAATATAGGATTTCACTCAAGTGATAGAACTCTCTCAATAAAAGAATTGAAAAACTATTTATAGTAAGTACAAAGATGGGTTCAAGGATCGCATTGCTTAATAAGTTGACATCGTGGCGGTGAAAAATGAACTAGCATCTCGGCTTTATAAAGGATGTTCTACTGCGACGGTGGCTAACATGGCACAATTACTAATTGAAATGATGCATCTTTTCACTGAGTTGGTGTGGCTCCTTGTGTTGATAATTGCTCCCCTGCGACGCTCCAAAAGTTTGAGTGCTGCGGCGCTCGAATGAGAAACCTGACGCTGAGGCGTTGAAAGATATGGCATGATAGTTGCATTTTTCTTTACTTGGATGTATCATAAAACACATTTGTAATTAGCTTTTTGGTTATTATTTATTCTTTAATTGAGTATTTATTTACTATATAGAGTCATTTTATTACTTTCTTTATTATTTGTTGTTGTATGGAGCATTCGTTTATACATTTATGCTCTAAGCATAAAATTCTTTCCAAAAAGTAAAAAATTTATAAATAAACCTAAAATCAATCATTGGTAGGCCCATTTCTTCATAAAAAGTTTTTATTTATTAAATGGCCCCTGACTACCTTTTTTAAACAAATGAATTCAAATCTCCAATTGATTATGTGGCTTTATAGGTCATATATTATGCCTCATATGCCTTTTCATAAGGAAAAATTTCTAACTAGCATAGATTCAGGACATGACCTAAAATAGGAGCTTACTGATAAAGCCATCTTATTAAGGACATATTAAATTACATCATACATGTCCCACCACACTGTTTCATTTCACTTGGCTGGCCACATAATTTATATTTGTTTATGTACTAGTCTATAAAGATATATGATATTTAGTGGCTTTCTTGATCCATATAAGATTGTAATATTAGTTAAGATAGTTCAATTCTTGTGATTGAATTATCCTTATTCTTCTCTTTTGCATTTTGGGAGGAGCAAGCCCTATGTTTTCATTTTTGTCTTCATGATAAAGTCATAGGATTGCGAGTTATTCTCTTTCTTTGGCTTTAGATTTGCAAAGCTTTCATAGACAAATCAATTCATAATTACTAACAAGAATATCCTAACTAGGTTTGATCAATTATCTTCATAACTAAGTAGATTTTAAGTTTGACAAACCATGATAATATGTCCATGAGATCTTGATTGAGTTATGTATATCAATTCCAAAAATCTCTTACCTATCTCGTAACCCCATTTGAGGCCATCATTTGTTTGATATATATCTTTAATGTCACTTCATATATTCTCATATATTACAAAGGCAATGTCTACACATGAGGATATGATGATTCTACCTCTAACCTATGGCCTAGCTTAGCCTTAAAGCATATGAGGGCCTCCAATTGAAATGAAAATATAATCTCTTGGCAAATAATATCAAAAGATTTTGGAATGCAATCGGGATTTCTCTAATTGTGAGTGTTATTGGGTGTTCCCAATATGTGATTAGCCATTAGAATCATGTGCATTTAGGAGTGTTGTATTGTTCCAAGATCAAATTTTAGAAGAATTATATATTTTAATCTCTTAATTAATCAATCAGTGCTTCTATGAATTTATCAACATAAATCAATCAAGCGAAAGTAACTAAAAGCATATACATCAAAATATAAAAATATATTCATCCATCAAACTTCATGTACAAAAGCCAAAAGATCAATCATTTCATTCAGTCCAACTTTCTAAACTCCTGAGTACAAAAGAATGAAACTAAAAAAAAAAGAAATAAAATGAAACCTGAATCTCTAATCTATCATCACTCCATTAGATCCTAAGCCCTTCCTAAAAATATATAAAATCACGGAGTGAGTTAACATTTCAATAGGTTACTAGAACCTACAACTAAAATCAATGTAAGATATTAGAAATAATATCTATATAATCATTCAGTCAATAGAAGTGTGAATATATAAATGTAAAAGTACGTAACAATCAATGAAATAATAATATGTCACATGATCAATAAAGATCAATACAATTATATATCTTACGAGCAGTAACCATTTATCAATAACTATATACATGGGGTCAGTAAACTCTATCATTTATATACTTATTAGTTATAGAATATTTTCTATCTTAGTTCAAGAAATTAGCATACATTATGTACAGTGTTGATACTATGCATGAATCTCATATCTTGATCAAATACAGTGCAACATGTCAGTGTAGTATATCATGTATGTTATATCATACATATGTATCATATATTTATGTATTATGTAGTTCATATAATTCATAATTAATGATTCATATATATATGGTTGATAATAGTGATTGGATGAGTTGATTAAACTGTAATAATAATAGCTATTAATTGTGACAACTAAGTACATGAAGCTACAAGAGGGTGTTAGTTAAGAACTCAATTATATATTTTCATATGCCTTCTAGGCATTTAGCAGGCAGTCGGTAGGCTGTGCTAATGGTACACGCATCTAGCGGGCTCGCCAATGGAGCTTGTTGAGGATCAGTAGATCCCATTCGCTAAGAAGCATGGAGGGAAGTCACCTATCACAAGGGCAATCACCGATCCTTATGGATAACACGACTAACCACTCTCCTCATAAAAGAAGATCGATCGTAGAGCTACTTGCCATCGTCGACGATGGGGTAAATCATTCGTGCTCGCCACTTCAGTGATCAGAAAGTGCATACACGTAGGTTTTCAGGTTCATTCCTTCAAATTTGCTTGCTAGTAGGGTCGGATGTCATCCACAAATAAATTTTTATCCAACATAAATAATGTGTGCCACGACATTCATCGAAAACAATGCTGGATGAAATTCTTGCATGATTTATAATTATATTCAGAACTTGATTCCTCTTAAATGTACATGATCACACAAAATATCTAATAAAATTGATTCAACTAGAACACAAATATTAATTTTTTTTTAATAAATTACATAAATAATAACAATTTTTATATTTATAAATTACCCTATGCAATTGACTATTCATATGAGCCTAAAGAGATAATCTAAAAGGATAAATAATTGAGTCCGGTTCCAATCAAGCTAATCATGCGAATAATAAATTCATTTTAATTGCTTTGATATGCCTATTTTGTCGTGGAATCAGCGTTGAAATCTGAAAGCAACCAAAGTCCCCAATCCCATCGTTTCCGCACATGGGATTAGGTCAATACTCCATTCCACCATTTTTCTCCTTGCGATGAAGCAATTTTACAGTCGTCGACTCGATGCAATTCAAAGATTTCTTTACTTAGGAGGAAGGGAGGGAGAGGGAAGGGAGGGAGTGGGAAGGGGGGAGAGAGAGAGAGCATATACTGTTGTCTTTTCCTTAAAGTGTTTCTATTCTTGCTAAAAAGAGGGGGGTTCTGTGCTTTTCTCCACGAGTACTCATTTCTGTGGCAGATGTATCATGGGTTTTGCTTGCCATGGTCCCATCCAAAGCGTGCCTCCAGCTCGTTGAAGCTCTCAAGGGGAGGACCAAAGGAAAAGACAGAATAGAAGTTTTGTCTGTGCTTTTGGAGGGCATCTTGTTCATAACCTCCCCTTTTGTTCTTTTCTCCTCCGTTTTCTCTCTCTTTCTCGTGGTTTCGTTTGGGTCTGTACTCACCGAGTATTGCCGGGGAAAGGAGTGTTCAAAATTTGGTTCTTTATCTGAAGAGGATTTGGTATGCGTTCCAAGGTGTCTCGTATGCTGGGTTTGGTGGATTAGGGTGTTTGTGGTTACATTTTGGATTTGTTGCCTTTGGGTGGTGTAGTTGAGTAATTCACAAATCAGAAATGTGTAACTTTGTTTGGGTTTTTGAGTATTTATGGCTGATTTTTCAGCTTATATGTGACTTCTAAGAGGATTTGTGGCCAAAACTTTTGTAGATTTTCTCTAAATGCTTGCCTAACTAGAATTTTATCACTGGTTTCTCTTGTTTGTTACTTTTAGAGGTTTTTTCCCCTATTGAAATTGTAGAATGGTCTGGGGAATTTAGGACTAGAATTGGCAGTGCTCTTAACCCATGACCCCAAACTGCACTTTATATTGCTTTCCCCTCAGTTTATGTTGCGGTGCTATCAAAGGAATTAGCAGCGATTTGGTTGTGGCGGCATAGGCATTAGGTTCTGCTTGAGTTCTTTACTGGAACATTTTTTGGTTGTTTTAGATGGCTTGCATGAAGCTAGGCTCAAAAATGGACACCTTCCAACGGAAAGGGAGGGCTTGGTATGTTAAACTCCATCCTTGTTTACTTGGTGTATTACATATTATTTCAGCTGTAATCTTTAAATATTGTTTCTGCTGAAGAACTTTTGTTATACATTTTAGAATGTATATATTTACAGTCTTTCTATTTCAGCTTTGAGAATTTGAGCATCTTCAACTAAGGTATATGCATTTACTACTTAGAAGACTTGACCCCTCCCTTAATCACAGCAAATAATATACATGGCTGTTTGATGAAATTGCTTGTTTGTATTACTGTAGTATGCTGTGACATGCTGGACTGCTTAGAGTGGTTTTTTCCCTCTGTTCAAACTAAACTGAAGGATGAAAATAGAAATGTATTTTAGAGATTGACTTGCAACTCCTTTATAGGGAAAGATCATGAAGGTTGAAAGTTTATAGCATATGTTTAATAGATTTTCAGAAAAAAATGTGTTTGGAACCTGTTGATTGCATGAGATGGAAAAATCACTCACCTTAGGCACCTAAAGTCATTATTTTGTTGATGTGTTACTGAAGTACTTACCTTTTTAACAATGAACTACCTTGGAGGGTCAATTTGGGATGCTTCATCTTGGTGAAGTGCATAGGGTTCGTTTGCACCTCTCTAAGTATAGAATAAAAAATTCACCATAAAAAAATAAATCTTAACCATTAATAATTTGGTTCGGCCAATTTTTCAATTGGTTGTCCTTAAGTGGTGAAAGTGATTTCTTATAAGCATAGGAATAATTGCTACATTTAGATGCTTTGAGAACATTAGGGGACTTTCAGAAGTTATATAATATTGGTCTCAGACCGGGACAATATTGAGCTTTTTGAGCCCATTAGCATCCATGCTTTAACTATAAACCTGCATTTGTTTTGTCATGCATGCCATTATAAATGTATCCTTTAGAAATATATGATGTTTTTTTAAAATTGAGGTTGTATATTAAGTTATGATGGTTGTCATTGACTGCTTCATCAAGAAGTGGATCATAAAAGAGCTAGCATGTGTTTCATAAGTATTCTAGAAGGCCCTAAATTATCATCAAGTGAATAATATCTAATTGGACAACATGCAGGCTGATTGGCATTGACATAAGTAGATTGTGGATTTACTCCTATATTTCTACAATATATCATCATTGTTAGCATTATCCGAATTGTTTGTTGTCTTCTTTATGAATCATCCTCATTTCATTCTTATTCAATGCTCATGAGATAGTAGCTATACATGTACCGGTCTTTTTTCACAATTTCTAGCCATGTCACTTGTAGTCTCAATATTTATCTTCTTTATTTTTTCACCTTATATGCGTGTCTTCTGCCTCAATTTTACATGATCAAATCATGTACATATATTTTTCACAATGGTGCTACTCACATTTCGCTTCTAAAATAATATTTTTTCATTCTATCCTTTTTTATTTTTACCATACTTCAATTTGGCATTGCTTTCTATAATGACATGCTTAACTCAGCTATCAAGAACATATTTGTTAACACTCTGAACCATATTAGCATATTGGCATTGCGTAATTATTGTTTTGTCAAAATTTTTTTGATCTACATTGTATTCTCTAATCTCATAGAATTCTTGAGGCATTTCATTTTAGTTGCCTTCTTTAACTCTAAGAAATATGCTCTCATATGTATGCACATTTTTTTATCTACCAATAAATCCAATCCACTTAAACTTAGTATTCCTAATTATCACTTCATTTTTCAATAATATAAGCGGATAATTATCATTCTTGCATCTATTAAAATTGAATATTATGTTCCCAGTTCTTATTTTGATAATCTTATGACTTTTATCTTTTAAATTTTCTGCTATTATCTTATGTTTTCTTTTACTTCAAAATAGATCTCACTTATTATATTATATTATCTATAAATAGAATATACTATGGATCCTCACTTTACATTTGGAAGAATCATTTATTTTCAATTTTTTAGTGAAAATATATCTTGAATATCTTTTGTTGAGGCAACAACATTTGGTGTTCACATTTATGATATTGACTTTTTAGCATTCTATGTTTGTATGAACTGATCGCATAGAATTTGTATTGTTTTGTTTAATGAAATCTTGTGTCAATAACCTTTGCATCATTAATATCATGAGTCATGTTTCCATTTGTGCTAATGTTAGGTTTAGCTGATATAATGATTTTTAATTGGAAATAATTGTATTATTGAACTGTAATCTGACATTAATATTTCTAGCATTTCTAGCCCATATAATGTCAAAGTCCTTATGGAACTTCAGATTCTATGCTCCATGTATCTTGCTCTCTTTGAATATGAAATTCCGTGAGGATTTTGACATTTGAATGTGCTATAGATGCTAATATCATTTGGTAGTTCAACAACATCATCTTTTTCATAAATCTTTCTTTAATCTTGTTGGGTTCAGATTTTCTGTTGATCAACTTATGAACAAACACTATGAAGATCTCTCCTTTCTCAGAGAAACCATCGCATCATCACGCTTTTATAAAAGTTTGCCCTCGTTAATATTTGTTTACATTAAAGCCTTATTATAAATTGCATAAAACTCTTTAAGTTCGAACATTCTCCATTTTCTCATCTATTTTGCACATTCAGTCTTGAAATTTATAGCTAAAAAACCAAATCTAAGGGCGCCATAGGTTTCTTCCTTGTAATAGTTGTAACACCTCCACAGTAACTTTTAACAGTACTGAAAGTACTACTAATATAAAGATAACAATTTCATCATTTGATTATACTATACTCTTGAACATTTGAAAATATTTATAAAATATCCAACATTTATCATTTATCTCATCAAACGGAAGCATCTAATAGATTAAAATTTTAACAAAGACATAGTTATAGAGCACTAAAAAAAATCAAATAAATCCAAAGTAATGCAACATTAAACTGCTTATTAACTTCAAGTGTATAGCTCACAAACAAGATAAATACTAATATAAAATAAGAAATAACTTATAATTTAATCTTCAACAATTTTTTTCTTTTCCTTTATTGTAACAACCAATAAGAAAAATACTGGTGAGTTATGAGGCTTAGTAAGCTTTGCAGGTTAATTAATAATTAAAAAATAATAATTGTAATAAATTAAAAGATTGAAATTATTATTGATTAATCTTATCGTTGCGTGTAAAATATAATAAAATAATAATTAACATTAGTCTTTATTTTTTTTATTTTGCACTGAATATTAATTTTAGTATGTAAAAGATTTGACTATACTTTTATAACAATATTTAATAGAGCTCAAGTGAACATGACATTATCACCATTTAATTATATAGAGGTCCCTTTTATCCACTTGCTATGTAGGTATCATATTCTCTGGGGTTCCTTTTTCCCCACTTATAATATAGTTTCATACCTGGGAACCCTTTTGTCTCATATATACTTGTAAGTTATATATCATATATAGCCAAACTTTACTTTAAATTGATATTCAATACACTTTTTATAATCATAAGTTATATTTATTTTTTTGCATGCTTTCATAATCATTCATATTATAATATATATGCCATGAATATGCATATAATAAGTAAGTAAAATGACTTCTTTCATAAACATTATCAATAAGGAAAATATTTAAATGAAAATAATAAATATTAATTTAAACTCACATAATAAATTTATATAAGTGGTTATTCATATTTATGTGAGTTTAAATCAATATTTATTTTGTTCATTTAAATATTTTCCTTATTGATAATATTTTGAAAAGAACTCATTTTTTTTACTTATTATATGCATATTCATGGTATAAGATTATAATATGAATAATTATGAAAACATACAACAAAACAAGTATGACCTATAATTATGGAAAGTATATTGAATATCAATTTAAAATAAAATTTGAATACAAATGATGTATAATTTATAAGTATAGGTGGGACAAAATGGTTTTCATGTATGAAATTACATTGTAAGTGAGACAAAAGGGACCCTAGAAAATATGATACAGCATAACAAGTAGGGCAAAAAAGATCTCTAAAGAGGCAAAAAAGACCTTTATATAATTCAATGACGATAATGGCAGATTCACCTTAGCTTTATTGAATATTATTATGAAAGTATAGTCAAATCTTTTACAGATTAAAATTGGTATTAAATACAAAATTCAAAAGAAGTAAAGACTAACATTAATGATGATTTTATTATATTTTATAAATTACAAGGGTAAAGCTAATTAATGATAATTTCAATCTGTTGATTTATTATAATTATTATATTTTAATTGTTAATTAATCTGTAAAGCTTATTGAGCCTCATAGCTCATCAATATTTTTCTTACTAGCTATTGTTACAGGAAATAGAAATGAAAAGATTGTTGTAGATTAAATTACAAGTTATTTTTTATTTTATGCTAGTATTTATTTTATTTGTAAACTCTATACTTGAGGTTAGTAATCAGTTTAATATTGTATTACTCTGGATTTATTTAGTTTTCCTTAGTGGCTCTGTAAATATGTATTTGTTGAAATTTTAAACTATTAGATGCTTTCGTTTGATGAGATGAATGATAACTATTGGATGTTTTATAAAGTTTTTCAAATGTTCAAAAGTATAATATGATCAAATGATAAAACTGTTATCTTTATGTTAGTAATACTCCTAATACTATTAAGGAGTACTGTGGGGTGTTGCAATTGTAACATTCTTCTAAGATATATTAGCCATTTAAGTGTACAAAATCATGCTTGTGATAAATTTAGTCCCACTACATAGGCTTATCTATTGATAAACATCAAAGTAGGTTACCTGGTGTGCAATTCACAACTTTATTTTGTCCATTAGTCTGTGGATAGGTTGCATAGTCAATAAGTGAGATGTTAAATCTCCTCATATCCTCCAATGAGCTCCATCATCCATGGTTATAGAATTTTTTACCCTTTTATGATGTTATGCTTTCTTAGTTTAATGTGATCTGAGTATATCCTCAAAGGACATGTTTGCCGTTGTCATTATATCAAATGACTTTTTTCTGTATGGATTGA